GGGGGGGGGGGGGGGGGGGGGGGGGGGGGGGGGGGGGGGGGGGGGGGGGGGGGGGGGGGGGCAAGGTCGTCTCCGTGGTGGAGAGAAAATTATCTAATAGAGAGGACGTTCACGCACCACCCCATACTGCTGTGTCCTGCATTCATTTTGGTTTTAGGCTTGGTTGGGTTTTCTATTTTTTGGGGGGGCAAGACGTGGTCGACGGACAGTGCCTCGTTACGGAGGACTACAGAAAAAAGTCGGGCTGTTCTTTTTTTGCCCTCGTTGTTTCGAGAGGACCATGAAACAAAGAGAGAGAGAGCAAGCCCGACAGGGCCCCACTCGGTGTGTTGGGGCGAGGGGGAAAGGAGAAGGACTTGATTTGCGATGTGTGCCTCCTTTGTGCGCCACCTACTACCTCGATCGGAGGAGAAGGAGAAGTTGGACCGTACTCTGTACAGCAACATTAACTAGTACACACATACAAACCCGCCGCCCGCCCGTCCGCGTAGCGCGGCACCGTACGTCACAAGATGTTTTCAGTTCCACAACAACAATCGATTGAAGCCCGCCGTATGACTCCGTCCACTCTCCATAATTAATTCTACCCCGAGAGCCTTTTGTGCGTTACATCTAGCCTAAAGACCTTTCATTCTTCTTGTTGCAGCTGCTGGTTGGTTTTTATCCTCACAACAGACGGACAGACCACCACCACCGCGGCTTTCTATGAAGTCAGCTGGAAGGAGAGACTTGTGCCATGCCACACGCTCTGGAGGTACGTGGTCACACGCTCGACGAACGACGCCCTGTGCTGGTCTACTTTGTTCCTCAACCAGGAAAAGCAACAAAGTGCAAACCGAAGCAAGCGACGTGCTACGTAACACTACATGCAGATGCGTGCACCGACAATAGTCGTGGCGTGCACGACTGACGCGTAGATGCTGATGTTACTTCAAGCTAGCTTCGTTTCGAAACATTCGTACTAAGAGCAATGAAACTTCACGCGCTTGGTGGGCACCGGGCGAAACAATGCACTAGACCAGACGCGTCGTTTCGGTCGGTTCTTCACAAGATTGACAGGAATACCGTATATGACACAAGATAACACACACACTGGACCGATTTTCAAAGCTCGATGACTCTACGACGAAGAGGATGCATAAACGAAACGATACATTTTCGAAAAGCTCTCGACGAGACGGTTTCAACGCCGCCATTTTCGACGCTGTGACTGTTCCGGCAGTTGAGAAATCGAGCTTCGACAATCGGTCAAGGGGGTGTGTTATCTTGGGTCATATACGGTAGGCGGGTAGGTACCTGATATATTTCTTGAATCAAGCTCATAACAAGACAACTAAACTTGAGCAACAGGGCGGATCTGCAGGGACACGCACTGATGTTGCTATGGTCCGACGTCGGACACAAGCGGACCCAGCAATCAGGAGTTGAAGAGTGTTACGGCATGGGTTCAACGTGCACTCACGCCTAGACCGCTTCGGAACAATTTGGCACCGTGAAACAAGTTTGCTGGATCAAGGTGGGAGGGCCAGACCTTTGCACATGCAGGACAACGCATGGACGCCCGTCTTTCGTTCGTTTATGGTGCAAGTTACGTACGAAAGGGAAAACAGGTGAGACTTTTGAACGACTCTTTGTACTCTTCCCCTAAGATGAACCGCTGGGAGCGAGGCGGCAAACCTTTTCGTGAGATGGTCACATGTCAACAGCCGGGTTTGGTCATGCCGGCCTACTGCATGCGATGAACAGGCATGTGACATTTTAAAATGCGCTCACGGGTGGCACGCACCACGAACGGGCATATCATGGAACGGTAGGTAGGGCACAGTCCATGGACCAAACATCCAAAAAGTGCGACACTCCGCGATGTCGGCCGAATCCTCCTCATGTGCTGGCTGGCGCACCCTGGAAGTGCTAAAAAATCACCGCCAGGATACACCACACAGGGGAGGATATGTGTTCGCAAGCACGGCAGTGCAAGCTCATTTGGTTCTTGGCTTCAAAAGTTTCTTTTCATTGACAGCAGTCCCCTGTTCCAAGTCATTCAGAAGAGAGTGCAACGCAAAGACATCTACCATCGCAGCACGCCTCTCTAGCGTAGGCATCACGGTCAAGCCCGACACCAAAAAAATAACTCAAGGGCAAACAAACAGGCAACGGCAACAGCGGGAAACCATGCCCCAGGCAAGAAACGTCGAAAGATCAGGCGCAGCAGACACTACACCAACAAGGGACCCCCTTTCCCCAGCCCCCTGCCCTGCGGACGTTTTTTCCTGCATCGGTCGACATGGCACCTGTCTTACGAGACCAAAAGAAAATTAGAATGCGGCGGCAGCAACATCATCCGGCTCCAATCTAGGGAGGAAGAGGCGGTCCCCTCCCCCCATCGCAGCTCTAAAACAAAACGATTAAAACAAATCACAACACGGAAGGAACCGCTATTCACAAAAGCGCCCCCAGCAACAAAACTGGTCCAAAAGTTCTGAAGGCCGCATGGACGAGTAATCTAGTTGAAGGTGTATCCCGCGCCGAGGAGGTCGTTGATCACGTACGGCTTGTTGTTCAGCTCCTCGTGCACCATCAGAGCCAGGATGCCCATCTGTGCCGCGCGCCCGTTGTTCAGCTCGATCGCGCGCTTCGACGCCTGGGTCTCCTCCGACATCGCGTCCCACGAGGACGCGAACGGGTTGCCGCCGTTCGTGAAGTCTCCGGGGAAGGAGCCCTCCACGTTCTTCATCACAGCCAGCTCAAGGAAGCCCACGAACGCGAAGATCTGCGCGAGGCCCGCCGGGGGGATCTTCGACAACGCGGCCACGCCGTTTGGCATGTCCGCGAACGACAGGTCCGCCGAGTTCGACAGCATGCCGGGGAGGCGGACGTTCTGCTGGGTCAGGTGACCGGCGATGGCGAGCATAGCGATGCGCCCGTGCTTCACCTCCACGTACCGGAGGCGCTCGAACCGCTCCTGGTCCGCGTCCGCGAGAAGGCCGAGCGGGTCCCAGAATCCGAGGGGGGGCTGCGCGCCGATCTCCGACTCGAACGACATCTTCATGGCGGAGGAAGACTTGGCCGGGGTGGCGACGGCGGCGCCGTTGAACGCGCTGTGGTTTTAGGTGTAACAGGGACAAGCAAGAGGGATAAGGGAGGGGAGACATGAGTTCGAGGAAAGGGTTTTGACGCTGAAAACGTAGTCAAAGCTTGATCGACAGTTCCGCATACCTGAGAGGAGCCGCTCTCGGGGGTTCTGCTACGATCCAATCGGAGGACAAACGAAGTTATAGTACACACGCATGTGCGTACGTGTCGTGCAATGATACATGAGATGGATTATGATAGAAATTGCGAGGGCCGCTGACAACCATTTTCGCTCATGGAAGCAAAATTACACTTGTAAATTACTTCCACCATTGCCACCAGCGCACGAGAGCAAGCCTCCCTGAACATGAAACCCGCGCCTAACCGTCCGCTCCTTCCCGGGGATACAGCAGTGCGCGCAACGATTTGATTCCGAGCGTTGGCGGGCGGAGCGTTTTCTTGTTTGTTGTTTTTTTGCTGAACAATCAAAACCATCTGTCCCGATGGCATTTTCCACGCCACGTGGACATTTGGTGAAAAAAACACAGACGAACGATGCGCATCAATCCAACGAGAGAAAAATGTGCCGACGCAACAGACCGGGCGGGAAACTTCGAAAGAGAACGCGCTGCGGCTGGAAGAAACACGCTGAATCTATCTAGCACTGCTCGAGATAGATGCTGTAAGGAGTATGGGTTCCGCCAGAGCCGTGATCAAGGTTGGCAGGCGTGGGAGAGTCGGGACATTCCCTGACTCAGCAACAAGCGGCCACTGTTTCATCTGCCCCTTGCGATTGAACGCTGTACTAAGCGAAAAATGTACAGGCTCGATTCAAAAAGCCACACACGGATGGGAAAAATCGACGGTAGCAAGTTCATCAGGTCGTACAGAGGTACTTCTCTTTAGGACGCGAGTACAGCATTAGTGTGACAAGGTGGGTCGGGCATGTGCCATCGCGCATGAATTTAGCCGGTGAGGAACGCGGATTTCGCGTGCCTCTATTTCGATATTTAGGCGCCCTGACTACGACATCAACCACGCGCAGGAGACTCCCGAAGTAGCGGGGCACGTGATGAAACAGAGCGCCAGTTTAAAGCCGGCGGCCACGAGACGCTAGTCGCGCATGCGAACCAAGTATGATGCTACCGCTCAAGGCAACATGCCGCTGTTTGTTCTTCAGAAGGGTCGGTGGGCCACATCTGCCGGCTCTGTTCGGATCTTCGCGTACCAGCAGCACCCCGAAATCGATTACTTTTGTACATGTGGTTTGATCACGCGGCGCACGCACAGCATCTAGCAGAAGAAACGTAGCGGCGGCGCCAGGCCAAGGCCGTCAATTGACTCATGGGATGGGGATGGAGATGCTAGAGCGCCGAGAGAGCACACATACTACAAATTGACGGAAAGCTTGAGAAAAATATTCGATACCAAATCTGCCCATGAAGACATGCGGAGTATTCAACAAGAAGGTTGATCTGGCTGCTGCTCTCACCTGGGTGCCACGAAGGCTTGGGCTCCGGCCACGCAGGCAGCGGCTACAACGCAGGACTTCATCTTGATGTGATGTGGTGGTGTGGAAGGAGAAAGGTATTCAGGGATGTTGCGGGCAGGAAACAGAGTGGGGTAGGGTGGGCGGGCGCGTGTGCTCGCCTGCCGATGAAAGACAGATCTTGGGGGGGCATATGACATCAACAATCGCTCGACCAATCAACGGCCGCGGGACTGTTCGCGAAACGGCAAAATTTCGCCGCCTTTTTTCTAAAATGTAGCACGTGTACAGCAGCCGTGGGCTCCCCGCGAGCCATATAGCTCTCGCTTGGGACCGCCGTGTGTTCTGTTGTGTGACGTGGGCTTCGTCACACGTACGCCGTAGGCTACAAAGATGTGCGCATGCCTGAGGTCGATGGGGTGCTATATCAGTGCTTAAAGTAACTTGCTCAGCGCGCCGCTGTTAGAATGCTTTTGCCAAGCAAGGCGTCTTCCCCCTCGAAGTCAACCACAGACGGCGATACATGCCGAACCAGGCACCCTGAGCTCCCAACAATGTCATGATTGGATAGGCAGGCCTGTCTTGGTGAATTCAACATCGGAATCTCCTAGAGCGGAGGTGTTTGCTTGGTCTACACAGCCGTACTCAAGAAAAAGATAGAGCACCATGCGGGCGTTCTTACGTCGTCGCGACCGGGATGGCAGAGCTTCTCGACGGCTGCAGCAGGCACGAGAATGGGTCGACGGGTGCAGCTCCACCAAGATGGGTTACTGGGAGGTGAGATAGCAGGGTGACAGTGTCATTTTTTAAAGGCGGGCGTCGGTTTTCAGAATCCAATGCACAGGACAGCGCTGCAGGCTGACTTCGTTGCCCTACCGCACTGCGTGCGCCGACTTCGTACAAGTTGCTGGTGCTGCACTGGTGTACATGTAGTCCCGACCACCGCCCAGACAGTGGTGATCGCGTACACAGGGTCGTTGTGTACAGCAGTACATTTCATACCGTCTCATAGACGTAAGCGCAGGCGCTAGAGTCGGTCGCGGGGGAGGCGGGGGGGGGGGGGGA